GACCCGCTACCTTGGCAAAAAATCGAAAATTTTTTAAAATTTTGCACGACCCCCTACCTTGGCAAAAAATCGAAAATTTTTTAAAATTTTGCACTACCCCCTACCTTGGCAAAAAATCGAAAATTTTTTAGAATTTTGCACGACCCCCTACCTTGGCAAAAAATCGAAAATTTTTTAAAATTTTGCACGACCCCTTACCTTGGCAAAAAATCGAAAATTTTTTAAAATTTTGCACGACCCCCTACCTTGGCAAAAAATCGAAAATTTTTTAAAATTTTGCACGACCCCCTACCTTGGCAAAAAATCGAAAATTTTTTAAAAACGACCCCCTACCTTGGCAAGAGATGGAAAATTTTTTAAAATTTTGCACGACCCCCTACCTTGGCAAAAAATTATATATGTATGTTAAGGTATATATTACGTATTAATGAAGAAATAACAACGTATTTTGAAAATTTCAGGAACTTCAGCAGTAAACGAGAACTTTAGAAAGTTAAGGAAATGCAAGAATTTTAGGAAAACTCTTAGAAAAACTTAAATGCATACGAAGTGTGCAATCAATTTTAATAATGAATAAGTAAAATTCCAAATTTAATTTCAAATAATGCATTCAATGTTGCAATAATCTGTCTATAAAAATTATGATACGAGTATTAATAGAATTTTTTACCTCTTCGATATATTCCGCGCAAAGGCATAATTTTCGAGTTATTGATTAATTAATTTAATCTGTAAAGTATTTATGTTATTAAATTCCTTATACTAATTAATTAAATTTATTACATTAAAATGCATTTGCATTTCTCATATATTATAATCAAAAACACAAAACTATATAGTGACTAGCAGCTTTTAAGTAATTAATTTAATTTAATTTAACTAGCTAATTTTTGTCGTAATTTTGCAATTACAATAAAATCCATGAGAATGAGCTCATTATCTATTAAATAAATTAAATAAGATTTTTTTTGGTTTTTGACAAATAATAGTAATTTCACATTTGTTTTTCCTTATTTATTATGTAGAAATACGCAACTTATTAGTCGGTCTCAATTAATTTTTAAAATTAAAATTACTTACAATGATAATAAATGTTAATTAAAGCTTCTGTGGATAATAAATTACTTAATTATATTTAAAGTAATTACATAGCACACCTATTTTCCCTGAAAATTACCTGTAAAAAAATAAATTTACATAAATAAAAACTAATCAATTTGATTTCTTTCAAGCAAATACAAGGAAATTGTTATAGTGAAATTAGGTTTCAGATTATTTTGCAACCTCGCACATACATATATATGTATAGGTTATATACGTTTTCTAAATTATATGTTAAATTAAATTTATATATTATCATTATTTTAATTATATTTTTTTATACTAAGTATGGAAGTTGTCGTAATTCTTATTGAAAATTAAATGTATTTTTGAAAATAGCTTCCAAATATGGTAATATGTAACATTCAAAACATACATAATGAATCAATTGAAATTAATAAATTTGTTATTTTTTTTCAGAGTTCAATTGTATTGCACCACTTTTATGAACTATATTCTATACGAATATAATGCGCTAATTGTAATATTCACGTATGCGAGAATGCAGTAACTATATGACTAATGTTTTTTGACATATGGTTAAATTAGTTTTGAAAGTGTTGGACATCACTGTCTCAATTTAAAACAATTCCAAACATATCACTTATTGAACTCTTTCCGACAAAAAAATAGCATTATAAATGAAGTTTTATTTATTATATTCTACGAATATACTTGAAGAAAAACGTAATATGAATAACAATACCAAAAATGTTGCATATAGAACAATTGAACCAAAAATATGTTTAAAGAATTTCATAAAATTTTAATAATATTAGAAATTTTCTTGCTAAAATGCTAATATTTGTAAATGCTACATTTATAAAATTTTATTTCATCATAATTAAAATATCTATGTTCTTCTCATAATATTTTTGTAAGCAATTAAAAAAGAACACAAAAAATTGCTTATCTTTAAAAAAAAAAAAAATATAAAAATTTAAAATCAGAAGTAAAAATGAAGAGGCCTAAGGAAGGTTAAGAAGACGTAATGCTCAAAAATTTTTGAAACGAAATTAAAATCATTAAAATTGTAATATTTGAAACTATATTTGAAATACATATTACAATTTTAATAATTTAAGGCTATTATGTTTGATAATTTTCAAAATTTTAAAAATTTTAAAAATTATATTAAAATATTTTTTTAATAATCATAAATTTAAATTACTTCCGACTGAATTTTCTAACATTTTTTTAAAGTTTTAAATGCTCACTAATTTAATTTATTACTCTAAGAAGTATTATCCAATTTTTTAATTATTTATTTTTACTAATGAACCTTCGATCATGAAACTCAAAACATAATACGAGTATTTACATTTTCAAAATGGTTAATAATGAAAATTAAGCCCAAAAATCAAAAGATTAAGAAAAACGTTTTTCTTTTTATTTTGCGTGCCAAAAAACATAAACGCGCTTTATTCTTCAAGTATTACAAAAAATAATTGCACAAAATTGCTTTAGAGAAAACTTTTGTATACTTTTGATTCAAAAGAAATATTAAAATTACAACTATTTGAGTGACTTGCAAGCAATTACATTCATCCGCAAGTAATATTTTAGATGTCCCCGTTTTAAATGTCGAATTTAGTTAAAGAAATAAGCTGTGATCGATCATTCTGAGTTTAATACCACTTTGTGGCATTATTATTCATAAATGTTTTGCATGAAATATTTTGTCATTAAAAATGTGTCACAAATATAGAATAAAAACATGATTTTAAAATGAAAAACATTGGAAGTTTGGTGGCTAGAAAGTGTATTGAATTGCATCCGAAAAGCACTTCATTATTTAGTAACACGTTTCGACCATGGGGAATCCTCTTGTTTTAAATACGATCAGTCAGCGACGGAGTAAGACTCAATACATTCTGGTTATCAAAGTTTCTGAATGAAACTACACTTCAATGTTATGTTTTCAGTGAATTGAATAAATTCATGAATTAAGCACATATGTATATGGTTTTTACAAAATGTAAAATAATGTCCAATATCAAACCTTTTATACGATTGATATTTTACTAAAAATATAATTTTTACGATTGATATTTTACTAAAAAATTTGATGCGTCTCCACATTAAATTTTTGAAAAACCAAGAAAAATAAAAGCAGTAAATTTTTCAATAATCTTAAATATTTAATATAAAAAACTACGACAGGCTAGGCACCTACCTAGAAACTGGCCTTATGCTAGTAGTGAAAAAAGGAGAAAAAAACTTAGGCTTCCATTAAATTCTATGACTTAGATATCACACCGCGTACACGGATTTCACTCAATGTAAATCGAATGGAGTTTGACTTTTTCTGTCAAACAATTCCAACAGATGATTGTACATGTACATCAAACTTAGCAGTACTATTTTTGAATGTTAAGAAAATTTGATATAATGATATGTTTACAATCAAGTTTTGTAACTACCATTTCTAATTATTTTATAATAAATTAATGAAAATTAATTGATTAATATTTTAATTATTTTCAAAAAATTTAAATATTTCAATAAAGGCCTTTTTAAAATATAGTTATTAATTTCACTGTGTCAGTCCGTTTGTACGTTCAGCCGTTTGCTTACAAAATTTTTATACATTTTAAATAAGAAATTTGAAATTTAAACACAAGTACAGACCGTGTTTAGAAATCTATTTGTCTAATTTCTTTCTACTATTGTAGAGGGGCATTTTTACCTTTTACCTGTAAAAGTTATTGTCCAATAAAATTCTATAATCCTTAAAAAAAATTAAAAAATTAATTTCTTAGCCATCAAAGAGGTAGACTGCACGAACCCAAAGTTTTAGTAGATTTTAGTCATTAATAAGTAATGTAAATTGCAAAACGTTTTTTGCACTTTCCTACACCTTTAAATTAGGAAAATACCTATATTCGTCGCCAGATCCTCCAAACCTTTAAACTTATCGAAATTTCTATAAAACTAAAGGCAAATAGTTCACCATTAAAAAAATAAAAATCGGACCTATGACAGTGTCTCTTATTGGACACTGCATAAAATCTAATTGAAAATTAAAATAAAAGAAAAATATTTTGCAACTGCAAGATAGCAATTCAAATATTTATTGTTTTTTTTACAAGAAAATTTCTACCATATTTCTTGTTTTCTTGTTCAAAAATCAAACACAAAAATCAAGATTATCGATTTCTAGTGATATGAAAGTTTTCATTTCACCATGTGATTTTTCACTAAATTTTGCAGCATAACGTGTTTTAAAAAATTTCGTGCTTCTTGAAATATAATCGAGTTGAAATAGATTAAAATTGAAAAAAGAGGGTTTTTTTTCTTATTATACAATTTTTTACAATTTATTTATAAACAAAAATTATAAATAAAAAATTTATATTTTAAATTTTAATAAAATACTCCCACATTATGCACACAATAATGATAAAACAGAAGGGGAAAAAAGTGTATAGAAAGGTGAAACACCAGAGTGGCACTATACTTGACTACTTGTTAGCTTTTTTTGTAATTTAAATAAATATTGTGGAGCTATTTCACTGATTTTGTTTAATATTTTCATGCAATTTGTTTATACATTGTTATTGTTGTCTTTACTTTTATATTTATCAATCCACGACCTTGTTGCCTATAACCTCAATAGTTTCTTTTATAATTCAGCACTTTCATTTTTTATCGATTTTTTATTTTTTTTTCATCCCAATAAAAATTTTAAATTACTTTTCTTTTTTTTCAATTGTTTTTCTATAAGAATTTTGATTTTAAATAAAAAGTTTAGATAAAAAATAAGAATAATTAAAAATATAGAAATTTTTTCAATATTAATTTGGGTGGAAAAACAGTCAGAAAGAATCATTGAATACTACACAGAAAGTTTGCATTTATTAACAAACACAACCGATTTTTATAGGAAAGAGCGGCTAATGACATATCAATGCACATATAAAGTTGCACCAGGTACAAAGATTTTTAATTATGTTGCAAGCAGGTAATAGAAACATGCAAATAAAGTCACTAATGGTTTAGTTTGTTTAATTAATTTTATTTCTGTTTATTTTTGGTTTTTTACTACGAAAAAAACATTTTTTCAATAAGAAAAACTCATGCAATTATAAGTATGTATCTAAAAGAACTATTTTGACAATTCTCCGGTATATTGCCAATATATATGAAGCATCTTCTAATGTGCACATATAAAGGAAATTCCTAAATGTTTTCTCTAACCTGATGATGACTAAATATAGCCTCATTTTGGATTTAAATATGTATTAAGTCCCTAAATTGTATGACTGAAAAAATTTCTAAATCCTTAAATTCAATTTCAACACTACATTTACTAAGAATAAAATTTAAAAATTTTGTTTAATAATTCAAAACAGGTTGAAGTGAACAGAATTTTAAGTTTACAAATTTAAATTTGTACTTAATTAATAATGTTTTCCAAGCAGTATGGGAATGAAGCTGCACACAATAAGGAGGTTGTGTAATGACAACCAATTTTGCATATATTGAGTTTTCGGTGAAACGCATTTCTGCATGCGCAATAGGAATGCGTAAATAACTATTTTTATAGAGATCTATTCGTCTGTCTTTCTGTGGGATTATCTGTCTGTCGGTCTGTGTGTGGACGCTAGTCCGGCTGAACCGATTTTGTTAAAAAGTTTATATATGAGTTTATTTCGGCTGTGTTACGAATAGACAAATTTTTAGGACATATAAACCTCTAAGAACTAGATCTTTCTGCATGCCGACTGAAATTTAATATTTCAATTTGGAGGCTCCGAACTTGGGACCGATTTTAGAATTACGAATTCACAGAACAAGGAATTCCGATAACACAAAGCGAAACTCTACTGAGAACATAACAAATTAACATTTTTCTGGTTATGGTAATTAAGAGTTCACTAGCGTCCTTAAAATTGGAAAAAAGTGTTTAAAAGGCATTTTCATAATTTTCAGAAACATTTTCGGTCAACTAGATAATACCTATTGCTGTCGTTTATTACCCTTACCACATTAGATTTTTTAAATTGCTTTTGATTGTAAAACCAATAACGAGTTGTTCGCAGTTTAGCAAAATTTAAAAGATTTTCATTTTTTGTTTTTGTTTTCTTAACTTTGTTTTGTTTTTTAAAATCTATCTTGTCGTGGAGTCACTTGTTATATGTGCTTAAGGCGTAAGAGATCATACTTAAAAATACAAATACATCAATCATTGAGTTGTTGAGCTCAGGGATGGTACGCAAGTTTTTGTTAGTAATTTCAATTTATGCAGTGCAAAATTTTCCATGCACTACAATAGAAGTTGAAATTTTCCATTTATAATGCCATTCTTACTTGGGAATAAACAGATTTTTTAAACTTGAAAAAAAATCATGAATAAAATTTACTTGCGAACCGCATTTCGTTATTATTGACATAGACAAAATTTCTAATAAATTTGATAGCAAAAATATTAAGGCTAACTGGCAACCATTGAAAAAATTTTAATACTATTGCATACACCTTTCTGTTCTTTATTGTTACCTTCATATTTTGTGCATGAAAACTGTAAAATTGATTGATTCACTGTTGTCTTATATTTAACAATTATTGCTTAAATTTTATCTCTTCTCAATGGCATTAAATAAAAAATAGCGAAATAATTAATTGAGAAGAAGGGGATTTTTCAGTCAATTGCAAATTAATTGAAAAAAAAAATCCAATCTATCTGAAAATTTATGTTATCATCAAAAACGAAAAATATTATCGTTGTTATACACTTAAGCTCAATACACTGTAGCTTGTGCTTGCTGAATATTTATGATTTTGCAAGAAATTATATAGTAGTAAAAAAGTGCTTTGACCTTTTAAACTGAAAGGTCACTTTTATTTATTAATACAAAAGTAATGCTTATGAAAATGAAATTTTCTTTTTGTAATTATAAGAAAAACGTTTAATCGCGAAAGTTTATACATTCTTAGTAAAATATTTAAATTGTTTAAATTGATTTTTTTTTTAAATTCTTTTAAAAAATAGTAATTTACTTTATCTTATTTAATTGGAGTGTTAAATATAAAGATAATGGAAGACAATTTCCATAATTTTAAATATTTCTCGATGCAAAGTTCACTAGCATCGACTTAAAAAACCAAAATATATAGATGATATTTTACTTTCCCGCCTTCCACTTCGAGTTATTGAATATAAACTTAGGTATTTAACATTTATAAAAAAATTTTAGGTAATTTGGGAATGGAGAACTATTTTGTATGAAAATTCTAAGAAATCTGTTTTTAACATAAAAGTATGAAGCCATCTGCCGAGATAAACCCTCTGTTGTTATAACTCGTCTCAATTCAACTGAACTTGTTTTTATAAATTATTAAAAATTGTGAAGGAATATTATATTGAATATTATATTGACAGCAATCAAAAATTTAGTTTATTGCATTTCGTGAAAAATATTGGCTAGACATCACAATTAACTATACTTTACAACATTATTAAAAAATTTTCTGAAGGACATCTTCTCTTATAAGTGATAAGAATATAAAAATTTTACGAATTGAAAACATATTTAAAATTCCTGTAATTTTTATTACACATACTTGTCTTATAAGATATAAAATTCGTATTGCAAAACACATTGAACATGTGACTAAGTATTTTAATAAGAAATTCTGCGAAACTTTAAAGAAATATTTTTGCATATACAGTAAAAAATATACAGTAAGAAATTTTTTTGAATATATGTAACTCGCGTAAAAGAAGAGTTCCTTTGTTAACAAAAAAAACATTGGTTTTACACATTTTTATACTTTATCGTAATTTAAGAGCTCATACGCATATAAGAGAAATTGTAGGAAAAATCGGATATATTAACCGACTGTGCCCCAAACATTCATAAAATTATTTATTTGAAAAAAAGATTAAAAACAACTTTTCAAGTTGAATTAAATGGTTTTTGTATGATTAACGTTCATGCTTTGTAGTCCAACAAGTGTCATTGCTTTTTCAGTAAAAATACATTCATTTCAAAAATAACTTAATCAATTTAAATTGATATTCAAATCACATTGATATTACATATTGGTATGCAAGTGCTTTCAAAAATATAAGCGAAAATTCGCATTGTTAACAACTTTGGATTTTGTTATTAGTCATTCTTTTTTGTATACGAATTGAATGATTAAATGTTTTTGATTAATTTTACCTTTTTTTTACAGATTTGCAACACTTGCGATTTTTAGCACTTTTGCAAAAAATTTTTGAAAAAAGTGCTTATTAGTTTCACTCTATCCATCCGTCCGTCTTTCCGTGAACATGTTTATTTATTTAATGTTTAATTCAAACAAATTCTGCTTTTAATGTCTATGAGAATCTATGCCTAGCTATTGATTATATTATTTCTCACATGAATTCAGCTGATGAAGTATTATTATTTGGGGATTTTAATCTTCCAAATATTTTTTGGATCCCTGATGATGAGGAATGTTACTTAATTCCTAATCAAATAGTAAATGATTCCGAAGCAGTTCTAATTGACAGCTGTAACGCTAACGGCCTTCAACAAATTTCAATAACTAAATTATTAGAATAAGCAATTGGATTTAGTTTTTACTTCTGACTGGTGTAATCTAATCTCTCATGATTGTAGTTTACCTTTAGTCAAAATTGATAACTTACCTTTAGTCAAAATTGATAACTATCACCCACAAATTTGCTGTTCTTACTTTTATGAAAATAAAACTGAAATTTTGTTGGAAGCAAATTACAAATTTAACTTTTCTAAAACTAACTTTATGGCTTTAAATAATTATCTCCTTTCAATCGGCTTCAGCTCTCTTTTTTCAAACTTAGATCTTAACTAGATGGTTAGTATTTTTTCGTTAGTAGAAATTTCGTTAATTAAAAAAGAAAATGCGATCAATATCCATCTTTTATGAATTATATGGGCGTCGCGTTTAATAACTCATTTGATATCACAAACTTCTTTCGTGAATTTTTTTCCAGCTCTTATGGTAGTAATATTTTTGAAGTTGATTGCAATAATTTTAGTCGTTTACATACCTTTCCAATATTGCCAATTTCATCAATAGATTTTTCAGTTTTTCGAGTAAAAAAATATTTGGAAATGCTTGACGCAGATTGTTCTCCTTGGCCTGATAATGTGCCTAAAGTGATACTCAAAAATTGTTCTCTCTATTTAGCAGGTCCCCTATCTATTTTATTTACTCATTCACTTTCTCGTGGTCATTTCCCACAGTTTTGGAAGGAGTCCTTTATTAGAGCTGTACATAAAAATGGACTTAAAAATGATGTGACTAATTATCGGACAATTGCCAAGTTATCGTCCATTCCTAAATTATTTGAACTAATGATCTTTGATTTCATTTATGACCAATGTTCACGTCGATTAGTGCCAAATCAGCACGGTTTTGTTAAAAAACGGTCTACTACAAGTAATTTAGTGGATGCGATTTCCTTTTATTTAAATGCGACGGAGTCCGGTTTTCAAACAGATGTCATTTACACAGATTTGTCAAAAGCATTTGGCCTATTACCACATAGTGTGATTTTATATAAATTGAGCAAATTTGGTTTCCCTTCAAATTTGTTGGATTGGATTAAATCCTATTTATTGGATCGTAAGTACTATGTCTCATTCAGATTCTGCACCTCAAATCCGTTTGTTGCTAATTCTGGGATTCTTCAGGTAGTCATTTAGGTCCTTTATTGTTTATTATAGCGATAAATGATGTTCTTTCTATCATTAATCATAGTGAAATTATGATTTAGGCTGATGATATGAAAATCTTCAAAATCATTTGCTGCCCTGAGGATTCCGTTAAATTGCAAGATGACATCTTTTCTTTTTCGGCTTGGTGCAGCCACAATAACCTTCTTCTTAATGTTAGTAAATGTGCAATAGTTAGTTATACACGTAAATCTGTTCCGATTTTGTATAAGTGAGAAGTCAGTAAACAGAGTCAATTCTTTTCGGGATTTGGGTGTTATCTTCGATGACAAGTTGACTTTTAGGTCTCATTATAATACCATAATTAACAAAGCCAATTCAATGCTTGTGAAACGCTTTTGTAAAGAGATGTGGTAAAGAATTCAATAATCCATACATATTAAAATCTTTGTATATGTCATTGGTTCGCTCCAATCTTGAATATGCATGTCAAGTTTGGTCACTCCACAAGAATTGAAGCGGTCCAGAAAAAATTCATCAGATTTGCTTTACACGGTTTAAACTGGGAAGACCCCAGTTTGTAGGAGCTTTTAGATACTAATAAATAGTTTATTTCGTTAGAAAATTTTTTTCCATCTCCACCCCTCTCAAGTCATCTGTTCACGAAATTTGTAAAATTTGAATTTTTGACACTTTATATGTTATTTTGACGAAACCGTAAGCTTTTTCAAATTTCTATAAACGCAAAAAGTTAACGGTAAATTCGGTGACTTTAAAAAATACAAATATTTTGCCTAACTCATGCAATTAACCCTTAAAATTGAGCATTATGTTAAGTCCTGTTTAAATTAATTTTTGCTTTATTTCAAAGACTGCATAAATCGTTCATCTTGAATATATGCAATCCTAGAAATAGTTTTGTATATGAATGAAAATATTTTTAATAGTGTGGTAGATATACTAGACTGTAAGCAGTATTTTCACGAATTATCGAAAGGAAAATTGCTACAATACAAACCATTGGTTTGACCCAACTTCATTCAATTTCATTCTACACTAATTCTGAACATTTTTTGATAGAAATATTTTGTAGCAAAATATTTCTATTTTTAATTCACATAAACGACAACGAAAGAACTATTGGAAATTCTAAGTTGGTGTTGTTTGCAGATTGTGCGTTAATTTATGTTTGTGCTGATAACGTATCTGAATATTGTGACAAAATAAATAGCGACTTGACAAATCTAAACAACTGGTTTCAAAAAAATGATGACAAAGAGATTAAAATTGACACAGATAAAGCCATAATTATGTGTTCTCTTCCATAATACAACCGCCGCGGCCATCGAACATAAGTCGTCTGTCCAGACACCGTTTTCATCAGAAGCAGAAATGCTGGGTGGGGCGAATCTGTCAAACGACAATGTTATGCATCTTAAAATGTTAAACGTTGGTGGAACGTTCCTGTTCCAGGAAACTTGGCTAGCGGGAATGAGTATCTGTAGGCTCAGAACGGTGCGATGCCTACGCACATCACGTGATCTGGGGAGCTCGGATACCAATATGAGACATGACTCACTTTTTTTTATTTTTTCTTGAGTACTAACTTCACTATGTAATAGAGGCTCACAGCCCACTTTCTTTACTAAAAATAGGCAGGAGGTTATAGATATAACCATTGCCTCACAAATTATTTCTCGCTTGGTTACGAATTAGAAAGTATCGCAACACCATTCTTTTTCTAACCACCGCTATGTATAATTTGAATTCGTTGCTCGGAAGAATTCTTCCTTAAGTTTTAGGAAACGCAAGCGGGCTGATTGGGCGGGGTTCCGAAATTTAGTAAGCGATCTCCTGGGACCCGGGGTCCCTTCGCGTCCTAGAAAGCCTGAGGATCTCGACAGTATGATCTGCACACTCGCTGAGGCCATAAAACGTGCCTCCAGGGGGACGTGTCCTTTAACTCTGATAAGAGGCAAACGGAAATCACAATGATGGTCCGAAGGGTTAAAAATCCTCCGTAAAAAATGTAGAACTCCAGTTAACACGACAAAATTAACCAAGACACCATCTGATTGGTACGCTTACAAAGATGACCTCAGGAAGTGCAAGGACTTGGGGAGTGGTAAGAGGTCTTCCTGGAAGGTGTTTTGCGGCAGGATTTGGGAGACTGCCGACGGCTCCAGACTTGTCAAAGCAAGTGGCCCTGTCGTGCCAAGTTACTTGATGGGTGCTGCCAACTCTTGTACCAATTCTGTTTCGGAATCTCTGAGCTGGTCCTGGATGCACACTTTTCTGAAGTTGGGAAACCTGAAGTTGATTTCGCTGAGTCCTTTGATCCATTCAAGTCGGCGAGTCCTATGATCATCTATGAGAGCTGTATAGATTAAACATACATTCCAAGAACATGGAATGTTACTAGGGTGGTCCTCATTCCTATGACTGAGAGAAGTTCTCACAGGTGCCCAAAGCATCTTACACCCATCAATTTAACACCATTTCTATTAAAGATATTGGAAAGTTCATAGACTTATACATAAAGAGTAACCTTAATCCAAAGTTTATATCTCCAGTACAACATGCGTATCGTAAGGCGAGTCAACGGAAACGTCTTTCCAATCTTTGATACGCTATATTGAAAAATCTCTAAACTGCAGAGAGTATACAATGGCTACCTTCCTGAATACTGAGGGCGCACTCAACAATGTCGAGCGGCGAGCTATCACTCAGGTTCTGTCGGGGCTCTCAATTCATGGCTCTCTGAGCGCTCTCATTGGAAACATGTTGTCAGGCAGAACCATTAAGGCCAGCTGTGGGGGCTCATGCATTGAGTGCTCCATTGGCTGGGGCACCCTGCACTGAGGGTTCCATTTTCCTCTTCTATGGAGCCTGCTGATTAATCAATTACTGGTATGTCGAGGAGGAGGGCTACAAGATGATAGTTTGCTTACGGTGACTGTATCTCGGAAGCATCTTCTTGCCCTAAATGGGCTCATGCGCAGGGCCCTAGTCCTTGTTTCGGACTGGTCTGCCGGCTGCGGGGTAAGTATCAACTCACAAGAGACGGAACTAGTTTTTTTTAGCAGGAGATACAAGATACCAACAATAGTTCTACCGATACTCGACGGAATCCGCTTATCCATTACCAAGGAGGGTAGGTTCTTGGGTGAAATTCTTGATTCGAACTTGAACTGGAGATCCTACATTATAAAGAAAGTAAGAAAGGCAATTATTGCGCTTTATTCATGAAAAAGGCTATGGGGAAGAGCTAGCTCGGCAGGTGACTACGGGATCTGCTGTGCGTTTACGAACAGCGTTTCAATGGTCATGTGACCCAAGGGGGCATGCTTCCGTTCTAGCGGACTGGAGATAATTGATTGTATTCTCCCGCGCTTTCATTCGCGAAGAACTTTGGGAACTCGGTTCGGCTCAGGCAAACCTGGCTGAGCGAGGGAGTTTTTAAAGTTTTTCATTTTTACTCGGAGGGATAAAAAATCGACGGCAGGGTAGGTTGGGGAGTTTATTTTGAGCAATTGGAATTTGAGCTCTCCTTCCGTTTAACGGATCACTGTAGTCGGCCGGTTGCGTCACTGTTTTCACTGACAGCCAGACCGAGGTAAGAGCATTAGGTTCTGAGGTTTCCACATCCAGAGCGCTTCTGCAGGTCATCTTTTAACGAGATGGCGGTGCAGTACGAAATAATTTTGATCTGGGTCCACGGACTCAGTGGGATTCTGGGGAACTGTAAGGCTGACGAGCTTGCGAAATAAGGAACTACCCTACTCCTTTTACATGAAAAGGAGCCTGGGCATGCCTTTAAACAATCACAGACTACTGCTCCTCAACGCGACACTGGATCGCACCAACCTTAGCTTATGGGCTGAAATTTGACCTTAGCTTATAGAAGAAATTTGTGGCCGAAGCTAGATTTGCGAAGCACAAGAGATCTGATTTCTCTCAAACGGAAGGATATCAGTGCCCTGCTATGACGAGGGTGGGTGGGGAGGGGAGAATGAAACGGTGACCCACCTTCTATGCTCATGTCCGGCGTTCGCGAACTCCAGGCGGAGATTTCTTGGACTACGAAGAAATAAGATCCAAGACTGCGCTACGGACTTAGTTTTTCAAATGAAGGGCGGAAAAGTAGAGATCCGGCGGGACTACAACGCGAGAAAAAAATTATAGTCCGATAATAAGATCTCCTATTAAGCTTAAATAAAATTGTCACTTACTTATTTATTAAAAATTGTACATTAATTAACAAGCTAGTAACAATTTTATTTAATTTAAACTTTAAAATGTCATTAAACATACTCGTATGTAATTAGTAGATTAGTATACGTGAATATTTAATACTCGTATAGTGCAATATATTATAGCATATCGATTATTAGGCGTTACAAACGATTTATTTTTTTAATGAATATGTTAGACATTGCTTGAATTTTTGCCCACATTATTAAAAAGGTGAAGCAAACTGAATTTCAATATTTACACACATCTGTACATATGTAATCATATAAAACTGAAGCAGTTCCTTTCTCATTGTATTACTAATAACACAGTTTTTTGCATATTCTTTCAATATACAATGGCACTCCCCAACAAAAATCTAATGAATATATGTTATTAGACGGGTAAATATTAATAACATAATATACCTTAACAAACTACTGTTATAAATATGTGTGGCACTTATTTATCTGGATAAAAAAAAAAACTTATTTATCTAGAAGTCAAAATCTCAAAATATAATAACACGTGCTCTTAGGTTACTTATGTAGTAACAAAAAAAAGCAGCAAGTAACGAAAAAAAAAAGAAAAAAATTCTTTGCATTTTTGATTCAAATTTTACTACATATAGCTTTTTAGCATTTTTCTAAAAAAAATTGAAAAAATATGCTTATTAGTTTCACTCTGCTCGCTTTTCCGTGAGCCTGTTAGAAAACT